ATATGCTAATGTATTAGAAATTTAATACCTTTATATCTTTATTAACTTCTACTTCTGCTTCTTCATTAACCTCTACTTCTGCTCTTACTCTTACTCCTTCTACCTGTTCACTATGTGTTAAGTATTTAAAAGAAGCTATTGACGTTTTTATATAGAGCAAAGAGAATATAATGCTATAAATATTTTAATATAAATTATTTTAATATATTATATCAATTATTTTTAATTACTTTAAGATTATCACAAATCTTGAAGAAATTTTAAGAAGTAATTTTAGGCTGATATAGTTTAAATAGTTAATAAAATTTTTGAAAGTAATTTTTCTAACATATAATATTAGAGGAAATTTTTCTCATTAGTTATTAAATATAATGTAAGTAAAATGATAAAAATAGTAATAAAGCAAAAAAATACATTATATAATAATTTGTTTTTTTTTTTTATTTAGAACTTAAAGTTATTAAAATTTGGAAATTTTAGAAAAAAAAAGGACAAACTTATCCAAAAATATTATTAAATATTTAATACTTATTTTTGGGATGCCTTTTGTAAATATAAAGAATTTTATTTTTATATTTTAATAAAATTTTTAATTTTTACAATATATTTTTAAATATTTTATATATATATATTTTTAAATGATGGGCATGATATAGAATTTTAAAGAAATAAACATATTCAAAACTAAAGAGATTCTTGAAAGGGTATAATAATATACTTATTATTAAAGTTTAATGATAATTTTTTTTGCTTTGCTAATTTTTTTCTTTTATAAGAAAGGGAAAGAAGCAAGTAAAAACTATTAATAAAAGAAATAGTAAATATATACTTTTTTTAATAGGTTGATATTTTGACAAATTTATGCTTAGTAATAACTTTATTTCTTTTTAGCAGTAGAAGAAGTTTTGAAGCCATCAGCTCAAATTGATAAATACAAACTTTCTTTAAAAGTATTTTGATAAATTTATGCTTAATAATAACTGTATTTTCTTTTTGATAACAGAAATTGTAAATACAAATATTTTTAATAATTTTATATATTTTAATATTTTTTAAATAATAAATATTATAATAAAAATTCAATTTACTTATCTGAATTTACATAATTTGTTTTAACTTAAATATATTAAAATATATTAATAATTAGAAAAAAACCCTATTAAGTCTAAAGTAAAATATTTGTTTATTAATTGTTTTTATGTATTCTAAATTAGAATTACTAATTTAGAGTTAAATTATTAAAAAAAAATAATAAATGTAATAAAAAAACATGTATAATGAGGAATTTTCTACTGGTTTTTTGTTATAAAGATTTTTTTTTTTTGATCTTTTAGTTTGAAAAAATTTTAATATATTAAAAATTCTAAAAGATTGCAAGTAATAAAGGTTAAAGTTGAATAATTGTAGTATAGTAAGTATAAATAGTTTTTTTTTTTAAAAAAAATAAAAAAATGAAATAACAGTAAAGTTTATTACATCATAATTATTAATAAATACATTACATTATTTATTTATATATATTGTTTATTACATTATTATATACAATAATTATTATTATACAATGATATAAAAATACTTTATAAGAATCCTCTACTTTACTTTAGATAATAATATAAAAATTACTAAAACTTAGTTTATATTTTAACTTTTAACTATAAAAATATTCTTTAATTTATTTTTATTTACTTATAAAAATTAATTAAAAAAAGAAATTATTTTTTTTTTAAATATAAAAAATATATTTGAATTAAATATTCAAATAAGTTTTTATTATAATATTAAAATTAGTTAAAAAATTGTTGTGTAACAAAAAACATATAAAATCATTAGAATTAACATATCTTATCAAAAAAGAAAAGGCTAATTTTTGATAATACATTTATTAAGTGATTTTGAACAAGAAATTTTTGATCGATAGAATTCTAGGTTTGATTTTATATGTGCTCTTTATTACTCAATGTAAAGTATTAAGATTTATAGAAAGATGATTCCTCATGTTATAATACAATAATAGAACAAATATCCTTATATTAGACTTAGACTTTAATTATTTTTTTTATATGTATAGCTAAACTAATATTAAATTTTTATTATAAAAGAATTTATAAATTGGTGACTGTAGTTATTATTGCAATTGCAAAGAAGATAGTTAAGACAGCAAATACTAAAATGATGATAAAAAATATAATTTTATATTTAAAAAATAATTTTTTGATAATTATTTAATTATTCATCATATATTTTTAGCCATTTTATTAAATTATTTATTTTTGCAAGAGTATTTATTTATTTCATTAAGCATATTCTTTCTAATATTATTTATATTTTTTTTGAAATCCTATATTTAAATTTGTAAATCTGATATTTCTTCTTCTTTTCTCTTTATGTATTTCATAAACCTGTTTTTTTTATGAGTTGTGATATTTTACATAATTTAAAAGAAGGTTTACCTATTATAAAAAATGTATTTTAGGTAGTTGATTTATTATGAATTATTCAAATGAGTTAAATTTTGACTTTTTTTTTAAAAAAATATCAATTTGAAAAGGCTTTGTTGCTTCCTTATGATATGATTATAAAACTGTTTATAGAAATCAGATGTTATTATTTTCTCCTAACTAAAATTTGCTGGTAATTTAATTTAATAGATATTTGAATGCAAATCAATTTATTATTACTAATGGTTGATTACTTCTTATGGAAATTTATCATTTTATCTTTATAATAGATTTTTATAATAAAAATCAACAAATATATATTTTTATTCATGTTTATAAAATTCAAATATTTTAACCAAGATCTTATGAAATAAATTATTCTCAGATTTTTAATAAAAGTGAATGAACTATTTGAAGCAAAAATTGATTCTTATATAAAATTACTCAAAAAAAATTCGTTAATTGTGACTGCTATGCTTCTTGCTGATCTAATATTAGACTCATTAAGGTACAGATAACCTTTTCAGTTGTGATATTGTTCTTGTTTAACTAGTATATTTCTCATAAAATTAACTTTGAATAATGCATGTATAAATAAGATATGAAAAACAATAAACATATAGCTAAATGTTTTTATTATTGAAAATATGTATTGCTGGTTGATTAAATGTAATTATTTCTTTTTAAATTTCCTTTTTTTCTTAATAGTAAATAATTATTAAAAAGAATCATTATGATTCATTATGATTTAAAAATTGTTTTCTATAAAATTTCTAATACATATAAAATTACAAATCTCATCAAAATTTATTTTCTCCTATAGTTTTACCAACTTTGGTTCAATTGCAATTGCTCTGATGATTATATTGAGTTTTCTTGAATGTGTATTCATTGGAAACAATTATTTGATTGTGAGAATTTATTCCAAAAGTTAATTTTAATAAGGCTATTCTTAATAGAAATGAAAACTTTTTTTCTAAAATCAATTCTTTGATGAATTCATAATTATTTTGTAAAACTTTTATAATAAAAGTTCCTTCTTGAGTTATTGATGTAAGAAAACAAAACAATTTTATGTTATTTCTCCTGTCTAAAAATCTTTGATTAATAATTGGTTAAAATATTTGTTAACTAGATAATATCCAGTTAAAATATTAACTGATTAATTAACCGGTTAAATTAATTTAGGCAGCACTATAAATTTGGCCAGAATTAGAACAATATTTTTGCAATCATAAAAATATTAATTCTGCCGGAGTTCCATTATAAGCCACACCTTACAGCCCATTGACCAAAGTGAAGGATGTCATGCTATTGTGTTGATACAATTGAGGTGATACTGGGATTTGGAGAATAATCATCACAAACTCAATATTGAGCAATACTGCAATATTCATAGCAAAAAGATATTGACACATAATCATCATCTTCAATGCGTACGGCTATATTCTTGTTAAAATCTGGCTCATTGAATTGGTTCTTGATCAAAGCTGTACTGATTTGTCATATTAAAAAATCCTGTCCAATTGTTTACAATTGCTGGTATTACACCTCCCACGTGCATAGTACTTCGTGATTTACTAGTATCCAAGGATAAAAATATGCAATTTTATATAATGCATTATTATGATCCTTAATAAACATCTGTAATATTCAAAAATTCATATTCCCCCCCCCCAAAAATAAATATGGGACCTAATAGAAAGGAGGAACTGCCGAAAAAAATACAATTTTTACTTTTATATGCCAAATATGATTTTTAGGTCAGATTTAGCATTAACTCATTTTTTATTTTTTTCCAGCCGTTTCCACTTTTTCTATTGCAAAGGTCCCATATATTTCTTCGATCCATAACAACGGAGATGGAGATGAATGAATAATAGGGTTAAACATTTGCTGACGCGTTGGCATCCTCCTACATCGGGTAGGAATTCATTACCATTAACTACAGATGTCGCACCCACCAATTTGTAATGAAAGAAAGGACTTCTGACTTCACAACACCATCAAACTGTGGTGCACAAAATTAAAAAGAGATCAGAAAATGAACATTGTGATTATAAGCACAAATAGTAGCCACTTACTTTGATGAACAGTTACTTTCCGCTTGGAAGATATTTTGAAGGGTTTCAAGAACCTTCTCACGTTTTTTAGTTTTAATAGCTGGCAAATTAATCTAGGTCAGAACCATCTTTGAGCGCCTCTTTGCATTTTTTTCAAATTGATTAATAAATGAATAACCATTATTATATTTTCAAGCACTACTTTGAATTGGTATTTTTTTTCACAAGGCTTTGAATCAAATTTTTATTTATAAGAATTTTGTGCTTAGCCTGAATCGTTAAAAGTTGATTGAACGTGGTTTGTCATGATTAGTTATTCATTTTGATATCACGGGAAAATCGATCGATGTTACACGGAATGAATGAAAAACACGTGAGTTCTGCGCTAGTAAAAATGCATAAAAAGGCACGTCAAACAGAATTTCAATATCAATTTTGTAATAAAAGTCAATTAACATTACAGATCTTTAGTTTTTGAAAGTATAGAGATATAAAAAAAATGCAACCCTTTAATAAATATTATCCACCTGATTGGACTCCAGATAAAGTACTTAATGAATTTTATATCTTTCAGTTACAATTTCAAGATTCTCAATAAATTTTCATAAATTACAGGGTTCTGTTAATAAATTTGTTGGAAAACATCCGCTCGGTGACCGTGCACGTAAACTTGATCAGGGAGTTTTAATTGTCAGGTTTGTATTCTCGTCCGAGTTTTGTAACATAATTCTTTAGATCATGTGTCAGAATTCGAAACTGAACAAATTACGTGTTTTTTGTAATAATAACCATAAAAAAAAATATAAACTCACAAGATTCGAATTACCTTTCAACATCTGGTGTGAAGGCTGTGGTAACCATGTTGGCAAAGGTAACAGACCTTATACTTTTTTTTTTTTTAATTCAATTTAGTTGTCTGAATTTTATCATTTAGAAATTCAAGCCTCATTTCATCATCCTCTTTTTTTTTTATAGGTGTTCGATATAATGCAGAGAAGAAGAAAATAGGAAAATATTTTAGTACACCAATCTTCAGTTTTCGGATGAAATGTCATTTATGTGACAATTGGATTGAAATTCACACAGATCCGAAGGTGAGAATCACACTGCACTAAAAGTTGTTCAAAACGACAATTTATTAATAATTAATTATATAGAATGCTGAATATTCGGTTATTTCTGGAGCTCGTCAAAAAGTCGAAACTTGGGAGCCAGAAGATTCTGAAGTCATTAAATTAAAAGGTTTACATCATTTCTTTAATGTTTGAATTTTTTAAATTCATCATTTGTTGAAATTTTTTTTTTCAATTGTACCTAATAGATGACGAAGAAGCTAAGAAATTGGTTGATAATGCATTATATAAGCTCGAACATTCTGTTAAAGATGAAATGAGATCTAAAGAAGCTCTTCCTATTTTAACACAGCTTCAAGTACGTCCATAATATCATTTCATAGTGATGGTCTGCTAATTATTCGCAGAAACAAATTTACAATATTTATTTTCCTTGAAAGAGGTTAAATGATAAACAATGGGCGGATCCTTATACGCATTCACAGCGAATGCGCAAAAAATTTAGAGTAAGGATTTTTTTTTTAAAAAAAAAAAAAAATGTTGAATACTTTTGCATACCGAATGTTTTTATTTTTTTATTTTCAAGATCCTTTAGCAGTTACTGATATTTTCGAAATTTTCTTAAAAAGGAGGAGAAAAAAGAACTAGAAGCTAAAAGACTTGCAGATGAAGAAATACGCGATAGAAATGCATTATCAATCCCACTGTTACCAGAATCTCAAGAAGATATAGTCAAAGCACAAACAACTGAATTTTCAGGTTGTTATTATTATGAATCTAAATAAAAATCATTATCACCACCATCATTATCAATTAATATAATTTATTTATGTTTATTAATAGATCAATTACTTGAACTAGCTCAAAAACGGAAATTAGAAATAACGGCATCATCCATATTTAATAAACCGTCGTCAAAATTTAAAAAATCAAAATTTCATATTCATGATCCTAAGGATAAGGTTGCCCAATTGTCGGTAATGGTGGCAGTTAATACCAAGCTCAAAACGGATCCTTTTTTAAAGGATAATGATTGGAATCTCGGAAATCATATTGATGGAAACGAAAAAAGTGGTGAAAATCATAAGGATTTGATTATTAAAAAGAGAAAGGAAGATAAAAAGCAAAGTAACGATCAGCTGACAGAAGTATTAAATTCTGAAAACATTACTCTTGATCCTTTATTAAATAGTAAGAATAGTAAAGGTAACTTATTTAACTTTTCATCCATTTCATAAGAATCATACATCAAATCCACCCTCATCACATTTGTCTATTTAGGTCATAATAATACGGCATGCATATCTTTAGTCAGTGCTGATTATGATGAGGATGAGGATGAGGATGAGAATAATGAAGAAAATTAAAAGAAAATTATGACTTTATTGATCTTTACTGGGGAATATGATTTAGCTACTTTTAAACATAAATTTAGGATTGAATTTCATTTTTTATATATATATTGTTTGGACATTAAAATTATTCACAAGAGAATTAATCACTAGGAGGTGGACCGGTTCTAAAATAAGGTTTACCGGCCTTATGACTACACATATCACCGTAAATTATTGCATAAAAGTTAATTGAATATGAACATTTATAATAAATAAACGTAGAATAAAAAAAAATAAAAATAAATAAAAATTTGAAAAAAGGAATACTTACAATTGCCACACAGCACCTAATATTAACCAAATATTAATTAATTTCAATGTCAAAAATCAGTAAAAATTATTTTTCCTAAACTACTTACTAACAAATGGAAGAGAGAAGCCTGTACCAAGGTATAAAAACATTTTGATAGCAAGACCTGCTTTACTCTTGGTACTGAAAGGAAGGTGCTAATAATCAAAACTTATTAACATTTCAAAAAGTAAACTGAAATATTTTTGATAATATTTTAAAATAAAAACTAACCGAACCGTCAACATTCTCCCAATGGTATGCACCATCGCGAATTGGACGGGCCAATGCACGGGAACGAATAGCCGAACGAGCAAAGACGGAAGAATTCATGGTGGTTATGGGTTATAAAAATAATTTTTTTTTTTTATAATCGAGAAGTAGTAAACGGATTGGAATCGCATGATTAATTAATTAATTAATTATAAAAGTAGTGTGTGTAACTTTTTCAATTTTTTCAAATGTAACAAAAGTGAGTGACAACGTCACCACCGAGAGGTTCGAAATTGTAGACTCCACAATTAAATGTTGATCGTAATAAGCATTAATGAATGTTTTAATCTCGAGAGATAACAAAGTTATTTAACAAACAATTTTTATATATTTTCTGAGAAAATAGCAATTTAATTGGAATAATATATATTTTACCAAAGTGAAAACCATCCTTACACATACTAACTAAAATAAAGTGACAAGTTACACAAAATATTTTACATTTAATGATCTAAATTGTAAATTGTAAAATCCAAAAAATTGTCGCGTTCTATCTTCAAATCTTCAAATTTTCAAATCTCTTCCCATTTTTTTTTTCATTTTTCAATATGGCATTTCAATTTCTTTCTCCAAAACCATCCTCACAAAAATTTATAGTTGATATTGATATGGATGGCGACATAGATATGCTTCTTAAAACACAGAGGAAAAATTTCGAGTCACAAGTTGTAACACCTGGGCAACTCATAACCAGTGATGCACAATCTATGAGGTTGGATTGTTTTGAATTTTATTAGAATTCGGATAATTTAAACTCAAACTCTAATATTATATTTAGAGGTCATGGTACCTATAACACAGAATCAGGAAAATGTGCAGCATCAGTGGCTGGTGTGGTTGAACGCGTCAACAAATTAATCTCTGTAAGGTCATTACACGCGAGGTATTTAAGAAACCTTTGTATCTTGTAACATTACGCACGTTATTATCTTAATTCAATTTTATCTTTAAATAGATACAATGGTGAAGTTGGCGATTTAGTAATTGGCAGAATTACAGAGGTGAGATAATATAAATTCGGTTTAACTGAGTGAAATACCTTATTGATGAATTTATATAATAGGTTTCACATAGAAGATGGAAAGTTGATATAAATTCAAGGCAAGATGCGGTATTGTTATTGTCAGCTATTAACCTTCCTGGTGGTATACAAGTAAGTCATATTTCCACAATTGTTTTTTTTTTAACCTCTTGCTTACTATTAAAAATTGTATATTTTATTAAATTAGAGACGTAAAACTGATGCTGATGAACTTCAAATGAGAAAATTTTTCTCCGAAGGAGATCTACTAGTGGTATGGAAATATATTCCTTTCAAATCAAAATCATTTTATTAACCCCTCTTGCAAATTTTCAGGCTGAAGTACAAGGACACTTTCAAGATGGTTCCTCATCATTACATACAAGAAATCTGAAATACGGCAAGGTACTTAATTAAGTAAATTATCATTAATAATAAATTACACTAATACATACGTTCTCTTAAGTTACGTAATGGTTCTTTCGTCGTAGTTCCGCAAGCGCTTGTGCAACGATGTAAAACTCATTTTCATACTTTACCGTACGGAGTTGATTTGGCATTAGGTTTGAATGGTTATATTTGGGTAAGCAAACAGACAACACAATCATCTAAAGATCAAGATTCCGACGCTATTTACTCAAATGATAATGAGGTAATCATCGCATATTATGATCCCATAGGTTCTATTTATGTCTTAAATATTTATTTATTCTTCCTTACTATTAGGAAATTGATCAAGAAAGGCGTGAGGCAATCGCGCGAGTTTGCAATAGCATCAATGCATTGAGTCGTCATTTCCTTCATATAAATGATACGACGATAAAGTTGGCATATGAAGCTTCTTTACACTTTCCGGTTAAGGATCTATTAAAATTAGATGTGATGGAAGCCATAACGAGTGAAGTGAAAGCTGGTATAAGATAGACAAGATTTAAACGAATTGGTATAATTCGTTTTAGCGCATTTAAATTTAAATTGCTATTGTATGTTTGATTGTTATTTTAAATGAGAAGGTTAAGCAAATTTAATAAATTTAATAATCAATGTATTTAAAGTTTGACTTTTCTGCGCCTAAACGAATGAAAAATCTGATTGGCCAATATTTATCAATTCCGGATCTTTTTAATAAAATGAAATTTAAATCAAGTTAAATAAATTTCCCACTTCCTTTTTTATTAGGTTATAAGGTTAAGCATGGAAAGGTCTCAGCGCAAAATCGTTCAACAGCAAACTATTGAAGCCTTCAATAAATTGAAGTACGTTCACCCACGTACTAATAAAGAAATCAAACTCAATAAGGAACTTATCGAAAAAGAAATTTCCAAAGCGGAGTTTTATAAAAATGGTTCAATCTTAGTTAGAGAAAAGGTTCCTGAAATGCAAGAAGAACCGGTTATAAAAGTGGTGGAAGGTGATTGTCTAATAAGGGCTTTGGAATTGACGAGGGAAGGTTTTAATCCTTTGGTGTTAAACATGGCTAGTGCAACAAATGCTGGTGGTGGTAAATATCGGTTTTGATTTCCTAGGAGTTTAATTTTTAAACATTATAACAATATTGACGCCTGGAATTTCGAATAGGTTACAAAAATGGTGCGGGAGCCCAGGAAGAAAATCTTTTTCGTCGTACAAATCTTTATCAATACCATGAACGTAACAAAAAGGATTGGTACCCTATACCATTATTAGGAGGGGTATACTGCCCTAATGCAACCGTTATTAGATCTAGCGAGCAAGAAAAATATGAATTTTTGGAAGTTCCTAAGGTCATTTCTTTTGTGGTATGAAAAACAATCTCTATAATTAGGTTGTATATATATATATATTTATTACTATTAAATATATTAAATTCGAATTTAACTTCATTAGGCAGTAGCAGCAATGCGTCGCCCAAAAATCATCAAAGATCAATCTGGAGAATTTACTTTAAGCCCTGAAGCAAAAACAATAACTCGACATAAAATTCGATCGATCCTTAACATAGGATTAATTCATGGTGCTTATTATTTAATTTATGAAATTCTCACTCATTTTCAAAATATCGAAAGTTTATTATTTCTTATTATTATCAAAAAGGCCATGATGCAATAGTTCTCAGCGCATTTGGATGTGGGGCTTATGGTAACCCTCCATCTACTATGGCACAGTTATTTTATGAAATCATTTCATCCGAATACGCTGGCGGTGGAGAGAATTTGCCTAAGACTTACCGTCATATATCTTTTGCCATATTTGATGATAATAACGCGAGTAAAACGCATAATCCGGAAGGCAATCTTTTACCTTTTCAAAAACGGTTTGCTAACGGCGTAGAGTACAAACAAATTAATAATGTTGCTACCACAATTTATTCTACTTCGAACGCCTTACAAGATAATGAATCATCAGCACATAAAAATGAGGTTTACAGAAATAAAACGAGTAATAATGATCAAAGGAAACAAAATCAATATCAACATTATGAAAGGAGAGGAGGTAACGGTTTTGATAGGGGTGGCAGGGGTGGAAGGGGTGGAAGGGGTGGAAGAGGACGAGGAAGAGGAAGAGGAATTGAGCAGAAAGGAAATTCACAATTTGATTCTTCAAATAATAGTCGACAAACGACCTTGACTTCTTTTTATCCAACACAAGATCAATTATGCCAATTGACAAAGATGGGATATTCGGAGCCAAATGTCAAACGCGCTTTCAATATGAATAAAGGAAATATGGAAGGGGCCGTAGCATGGTTGAAGTCAAATGCTGTGCCTAATGAAATTAATGAATTTGGTGAAACGATATATCCTTATCATAATGATGATTAAATGTCAATTTATATGGAAAATCTTTGTAAGATAGTACTATTAAAAAAAAAAGACCGTACGCGTATGGCCTCAATTATTTTTCACGTGATCTCCATTTATTTTTTATGGTTTGCCATTTATTCTAAAAGTAAATAAATGTATAAATTGAAAATTTTTATATTATTAGTAAAAAAAAAATACATCCCAAAAGAAAGAATTGTACTCGAGCTCTTTAATTTCTTCTTGCAATAATAAAGTATCCAAATTCACAGATTACAACTTTCCAATTAATGTTCTCAACAACATTTAATGTTTTCTACTTTCCTATTTCTTTGTTATACTACAGGAGTCTCTCGCCTGCAATACCCAAATATTTTTTTATACGCATCTTAGTGGTATCACTTTAAAAATCACGCACTTTAGGTTTAAGGAAAATTTCCATTACCGTCATACAGCGACGTTTAAGGAAATGAGGATACTAATATAGACAAAACAAAAAGGATCCAAAAAGAGAAATTTATATAAATGATTTGTTTGATGATCATTGACGATCATCTGTATGTTGCGAATCTTACTCGAAATTGGATATTAAGCAAAGAAAACAAGGGTTAGCTGAAAATTTAAACGAGTAAAAAAGGATAATATAATTATAATAATAATAATAATGATAATAGAAATGATACTAATAAATTATTTTAATAATAATGAAAATATTATTAGACTTTTAAAATAATTTTAACTAATATAACTATTATATTCAAATTTTATTAATTATAAATTTTAATAATAAATATTTAATTTAAAATTTGATTATTAAGATTATTTTTTTTTTTATTGATTAATGATATAAAAAAAATAGTAGAAGTAGTGAATTGAAAAAGAAAATTAATATGATGATGTAAGTGAAAGTAAAAAAAAAAATTACAGAAGTTAACACAAAATTATATATAACCTTATAGTAAATTATCTTACACTTTGCTCTGAATAATAATTTTTTATATAATATTATAATGTTAAATTTATATAATTATATAACAGATTTCATCATATATATATTATAATTCACATTTATTTACAGTATTTGAATCTTAATTATTTCTTTATTTTATTTATAATCAACAATATTAATTTTATGATATTATATATTTTTTTAATTATTTATCAGATATGACAAATAACCTAATATATTATAATTTCTTTTTCTAATATTTTTTTTATTATTTTTAAACTAATATATTATTTTTAAATATATAAGTTTTTTCTTAATAATTAATATAGTTAGAACTCAATATAATGAACCTGTTAGTTTAATAATTTTTATAATGAGAATTCAAAAAATGAATTTTTCTTAATATATCAATTTAAATAATAAAAAAAAAATAAAGTTTATTATATTAAATTATATTATTATTTTACAACTAATGTAATATACTTATTATTTATTTATTATTTATTGTTTGTTTATTATATATTATATTATTTTTTTATTGTAATTATTTTAAAATTTAAAAATAAAAAAATTCTAATTGAAACAAATATTGTATTATTCTAAAATTAAGCATTCTTTAAAAATAAGCATCCTCTTATTTGCATAATACCTGAAATAAGCATTCTTTTAAAATATTAATTTTTTTATGATTATTAAATGTTAATGATTATATTAATAAATTTATTAAAATTACAATAAAAAGATAATTATTTTCTATTATTATCTGAACTACTTTCATCAAAATTAACAAACTTTTTAATTTCATACATCAGCTCAATTTTTGAAAAATTAATCTTTTAAAATAATTGCTTTATATTTGTAAAATATTACAATTAATATGAATAAGTTAAGAAAGTATATAATTTAATTGTCTAATTATTTAGCTTGCAGATCATATATTTCTATTTTAAACTACTTGCTTTTATTTTCTTTATCAAAATCTTGAATAATTTCATTAATGTTATCTTTATTTTTTAACTCATCTAAAGAATTTGATATTTCACATTTTTTAAAGGATTAGATAATTATTTCATTTAAAATATTATCCTATAACTGTTTTATTTATCTTATAGTAACAAAAGGGATGCTTAATTTCAGAATAATACAGTAAACTTATTTATTATATATTTAATTAAATTAAAGATTCTAATAATTATTTATTAAATCAAGAAAAAAATGATTTTTTTCAATATATTAAGAAAAAATCATTATTGACTTATTGCAAATAAATAAATTATAGTTAAAATTTAAAGTTATTTTATTTGATATAATATTGTAATTTCTATAATTTTTAAAAACATAAAAATGTTTACATATTTTTATATTATTTTGAAATAAATAAAATTTTAAAAATATTTGTTCTCATAAATAAGTTTATTTTATTATTTCATTATTAAATTGCAATATAACAAAATTCTTGCATTTTCAAATTGAAACAAAAAGTAAAAATTGTAAAATTTTTTAGAACATTTTTTTTTAAAAAAATATTTATTAGTCTAGAATAAAGTGTAGAATTATATATAATGTAAAAATGTCTTAATATTTGCTCATTTAATAATTGAATCAATGCTGATTGGCTTTTATAATTGCATAAAACTCTAGATAAAGTAAATACCAGTATGAAATTTTTTAGTTAAGATCATTTCAGATTTAACAATTATTTCCGTTTCCCTAGTAATACTATTATTATAATACTAAATAATATTGATGATATATAATATATGTAATATGCTGATTTATTAAATGTATTATATATATTAATTTAATTTATAATGTTAAATATGCTAATTGATTTATCTAAAAAGGATTTATATAACTACTATTATTCCTAATTTTTTTTAGTAATGATTTCAAATATTATTTTCTTAATTTATATAAAAATTAATCATAAATTTAAAGAAATAATTACTTTAAAATTTTTGTTAGATATTTTACTTTTTTTTAATATAATGATTTATTTAAAAAATGTAAAATTTATTATTAAATAATCAAATAATTCACTAATAAAAATTATAAAAATATATTATTTTAATAAAATTTATTAAATAATGATATAATGATAATTAATTAAACAATTAAATAGAGAGTTCAAAAGATATGAGACAGAAAAAAATCAAAACAAATAAAATAGTAAATTTTATAATAACAGTAATTTGATAAAAAAAATTAGAATAAATATAAATATATAAAAAGATTATTATAGTGTATATAATTTGTATTATAATAAAGAAAAAAATTTATAATACGGGATTGAAGATAATTATCAAGAAATGAGATATTGCGATAAACTTATCAGTTTTAAGAATCTTCCATCCTGGGCGCTTTTGCAGTAAAAGGGAGGAAACTACCAAAAAAAAATAACCTTTACTTTATAAGTTAAATATGATTTTTATTAGTCAAATAATTCCAGATCTAGATTTAACATTACTCAAAAAAATATTTTTTTTTTTTTTGCTTTTCAGCTGCAAAGCGCCCACCCGGTTTAAAGGTATCACAAAGAAATTTTAAAGAAATATGATAATTTATTTTCTCTAAATTGAAATCAATTGCAGTAGTTTATAATGTTATAAAAGTAGCAAAATTTAAGTTTCAAGGCTTCAACACATTTTTTAATTTTTTTTAAGTTAAAATGGTATTCTTAACTTTTATATAACGAAGGGTTAATTTCTTCGATATAAAATGGCAAAACAAGCAAGGATACGACCATTTAGTGGAAATTTTGGTGAAGATTATCAAGTTCTGAATGAATAACCTAAAAAAGTTGTAAATGGTACTTGCATTGTTTTACATCTTTATGCTGAATTTATAATGCACCTTATTGTAAAATTTCTTTAATTGGCTTAATGTTATCTCAAGCTTAAGATCACAATCAAAAAGGTTTGTTTTTGGAAACAAAAACAAGTTTGGGAAACAATAACAATAAAGTAATGTTATTCAAATATAAACGTCTCGAATTCATAAAAAAAAAGAAAAAAAAAAAAAAAAAAAAAATTTTTAAAATATAAAATAAATACATTCTTGTTAAAATAATGACTCATACAAACAATGGATTTTCTGAAAATGGTACTCAGGGTAATAAGTTTGGTAGAGGAATTCCATTCCGTGAAGGTGCTCCAATGCAACTATTAAGATTTGAAGCCAATCATGGAAAGTTCGGTAAAATTGTGCTAAATAAAGAAGCACTAGATGTTCTTAAACAGATTCGTGAACCACTTGCTATTATCTCAGTAGTTGGTTCATATCGCCGTGGTAAATCTTGGTTCGCAAATGTATTGCACGGTCGTCATGACGGTTTTGATTTAGGAGCAAAAGTCGAAGGGTGCACACGGGGGATATACATGTGGTCTCCTCCTTTCACATTGAAAAGTAAACAATCCGATGGCAGCACGATTCAAAAACGTGTAATTGTTCTCGATTCCGAAGGAATCGATGACCCAAAACAAGACCAAAATTGGGCGACAAAACTATTCATTTTATGTTTAGCTTCTTCGTCAACTTTCATTTATAATATCAATGGTATCGTCGGCAGGGATGATATCGGCAAATTGTACCTTATGACCGATTTAAGTAAATTCATTCAAGAACCCGAAGATGGTGACTTTTTACCCAGATTAGTTATCTTACTTCGTGATTTCACTCTGGAAAATCCAGATAGCTTCAAGGATTATTTTCTGGAAAAATTACAAAATGTCAATCCTGAAGGTGAATTATTTAATAAATTAATAATAATAATAAAAAAAAAAAAGCTCAAATAAAAAGTATAAATTGTAACGACATTTCAATTTTCAATTCATAGCTGCTACGGGCATTGGTAAATTCTTTTATGACTTTAATGTTTATGGGTAAATATACTTTGGTTATTATTGTTATTATTGATACTTCTTATGTTTCACATAATTAACATATTTATTTATACTTTACCAAATTTAAGATTACCACATCCCGGTTGTAAAAGAAAAATGTTACAACATTTGGAAGATGCTGAAACCGATGAACTTGATGAGGAATTTGTTGATGAAGTAGAGAACACCGTAAAAGAAATCTATTCTCAATTACCCTTAAAATACATAGGTTCATCCACCATGAAAGGAACGGCATTTGTAAAGTTCTTGCAAGATATCGTGGAGCGTATGAACAGTTCAGAAACTTCTTCACTTCTCTCGATTCCCTCCGAATATGAATCAATTATACAATATGTTGCACAAGAAGCAATAAAAGAAGCTACAATTTTATATCAAGAAAGAATGAATGTTCTGAATGAAGAAGGAAAACTCCCAATGATATGGGAAGATTTTAATGAGATTCATGAAGATAGTATTTCAGAGGTCAACCAATTGTTCTTTGATAAAGTCATTGGAAGTCCTACACAGATGGAAGGTTTTATTGAACGATTAAATGAAGATATAAATAAATGTAAAGAAATATTTCTGAAAAAAAATTCCGAAGAATTAACGAATCGTAATGAACATATTGCAAAAATTTTATGGGAAAAATATGTAAAGTCTGGATTAAATCTAGAAAATTTATTTGAGGTATGATTAGAAATATTTTTTTATTTGGTAATATTAAATAGTACCTTAATTTCTTAATTTACGATCAATATATATTTTTTTTGTTAAAGAGTACCGAAATATTTCAAGAAGCATTGAACACGTTTGAATTATCTTTTGAGAAAGCTATGATGAAGTCTCCAGAAGCCGCCAAAGTAATTGCGTCATACATGCAAGATCATTATCCGACCGCAATTGATTATATGACGCAATTGGGAAAGATGAACGCGGAATTAGCTAAAGCGATGATCGCTAAAGAAGAAGCCGAGAGATTACGTTTAGAATCAATAGCACGTGAAGAACAATTCCGTATGGAAATTGAAGGACAGAAACGTGAACGTGAAGAAACCGAAAGGCTGTTTAAGATTAAAATGATGGAATTAGAAACAAATATCGAAGAACAGCAAAGATCCCACGAAGAAATGAAATATCGACTTATTGAAGAAAGGGAACGCGTTGTTGAAAAATATAATCAGAAAATGGAAGAAATGCAAGAAACTATGCTTGAACAACAAAGATTGAACGAAGAAACTAATAAAAATTTACTTGATGAACAACAAAGAAACTTTGAACAAATACAAAGATCTGCTGAAGAAGAAAATCGTAGATTAATCGAAGAATTGAGCAGGAAATTAAACGAAGAAAAGGAAAAAGCTGTAGAAAATCAAAATCGATTTTACCAAGAGCAACTCGCTCAGCAAATCAAAGCTTCTAAAGAACAAACTGAAGCAATTTTAGAAACGATGCGAAGAGAAAATAATGACTTAAGACAAAGAATTAATGACAGTAATTCCGGTGGTGGTTGTTTAATTTCGTAGATTTTTTTTTAAGCGTTTTCATATTTAAATGTCTTATTAAACATTTCCTGTATATTTTTATTTTTCTTTTGAATATCCTTTATATTTTTTAAACCATATAGGTAGACGAAGTTTTTTTCCAAACCCTCTCTTGTTAACAGCTTCTTTACTTCCCGAAATAATTTCAATTGTTTCTTCTCAATTGAAATAAGAGATTAAACATTTTTTCATAAAATTATATCAAACGATTACAATTTATTTGCATCGTCAACGAAATGAATGAACCTCAATATAAAATTATTTCCAAATTTCCAAAGATATCTGTTCGTTAAAATATGATAATTTAGTAATCTGAAATTCCATTTATAACCCTGGTTTCGTCACGTCTCGTAACCTTTTAAGGAAATTCCACTAAGTTATATTAACCTGTATACAGTAAATATTTGAATATGTTCACCTAGTTAAAGAGTGAAGAGCCTGCGATTTTGTTAATAAAGATAAATCTTGTGATTCCTTTTATAAATTCCTTTTAGCTGTTAAGGGGGTATGATTAGTCACCTTACTGCAATTAAATAATTGATTTTGATATTTACGAATTTTTTCATACTTAAAGGTTGGGCAATATCCGAAGCTTATCGTTGATGGAATTTCGTATTATGATTTTCTCAACAAACTGAAAACAATGGGTAAACATAGTTTTTTATATAAGCACTTATAAACCCTCATACAGCACTAATTAATTACTTTCAATGATTCAAAGAGGAGAAAATTTTAAGTATGTCTTCATTAACCCCATCGACCGAATCAACTGCACACGAATTAACATTATTCGACGTTTCAGCAAAAGAAACCCCATTATCCGACGAATCAACAGACCCTCTTCATTCCGAGATCATGGCTTACTTTATTAGCCGAGGTTTTAATCAAACCTCGTTAGGTCCTTTCTGGAAGAGGAGGTCCACCTTGATCTTAAAACGAATACGGAACTCATGTTTGATTTTCTCGAAGAACGCCAGCGACTGAACCCAACAATCTTCGTTGGCATTGAGGGAACTGGTGTAAGTGGTGTTACTTCAGGTGATGATAAGAGATTACTTGTGGAATGGGTCTTACGGAAGAAACAGCAAATGAACTCCATAATAGTGTGTGTGATGATACCCTATGGACTAAACAGATTTTATATCATTGGTTATTCGAATGAATCCTCAATCCATGGGATTTCAATATTCAGATGCCTTTGATAACGTTTTCTATGATGCAAACCTTCCACGCAATCAGTGGATCATCATATGATGATATCAATACTGGAATAGATAACATTTTAAGTAACAATACGAAAGTCGCTGATACCAATTCGACAATCTATACGATGTGCTTTCTTTCACGCAACAAATTATCAAAGCGCCCAAGCAATCAGCAATAATGGAATCATACTTGCACATGGCAGACACAGTCTCGATTTCGGATCGGATCCTAGCTTTTGCTTAAACTCATCGATTGAAAATGCAAACAATTGGATTAAGAATCGTAAGGGATCTAATGGAATTGTCGTGTATTGAGTCGATACTGACAGAATCAAAAGCATGAATTATCGGGATCTAGTTTCTGAAGGTGATGATCTATGGAAGAAGGTGGTGGTTGCTTCGAGATGTACTAAGGTATCGGAAGTAGATAATGATACGGATACCAATTATCGAACCCAAGACAAATTCTATCTGAATGGGCAAGTTATGGTGGAAATGATGCTAAGGGTTCATGGTAGAATGTCATTCCCAGTGCTCAATGGTTCGAACCTATTCGACACCTTCAACTCGCTATTAAGACTCCCATGGCGGCAATGCTTATGGACAACTATTATTTTGGCGTTATTTATTTTCATACAAAATAGATAGGGTAAATAGCTAATGTAAAAAGGGCAGTTGTAATCAATAAATGTCGTCATACATGCTTTGAATATGATATTCATGATAAACTAACATTTTCCGATGTCGAGATTTACTGCATCATTCACGTGATTCCTGACCTAACTTTATACTTTCGATTTACATTAGTTTTTTTTTTTGTAGTTGATGGCTCAGTCAAATCAATAAATGGATTATCAACTGGCTTTTCTATCATAATAGCTTGTTCATGTCTAAGACTATTTGTAGTTATATTACGCTATTCTACATTGACAAATTTAAGTTTTTTGAATCGAAGATCTAATAAGTAAGGCTGCAACTAATGTTACTTCTTTTATACATCCCAATATATATTATATTAAATGTGTTCATCTAAAAAAAAAAAAGTATCATCGCAAAAGGATCAAAATAAAGAGTATTATACAAATTTGTTATAAAAGATCCTTTATCTAATCAAAAACACCAATTACTACTGCTAATATTCTAGAATTTGTTAAAGTTACAATCTATTTAGTATGTATCAAGGTAGCACTTTGAGTTGCTTCATAGAAAGGTGCTAAAAAAATAATTAATTAATTTGAATTTATTATTATCATTCACAAATATATACAAACTTAAATGCTAAAAATTACTTCCATTCAGATTCATTAACTTGGTTTGCCTAAATAATCACATCATCCTTATTATTCTTGTAAAATTTTTAATTCTAAATGATTTCATACAAGATATATAGAATTCCATCTAGTTTTAAATTTAAATAGAATTTCATATACTTTTGAATAATTTAATTTATGTTAAACATCTTTGAGATTTTCTATTTGTTTAAGATTACCATAAAATATACAACACATTTTACAGTAGGATGTTTAGTAAAGCTATTATTGAAAAAGTGCTTAAAATTAAAAATGATATTATTCACTTTAATATTTTAATATAAGATTTCTATTACTATTTTGCAAGAAATGCTCTTTCAATAACTAATTTACTTTTAAACCATCTAACATAAGGAATAAGAAACTTATTTTATAAAACTTCTATTAATCTTTATATTAAACTCAAAATTTCATATTGATTATCTTATTTTTTTTCACTATATATGATCTATAAATTTATATTTTTTAGCTATAAACTAAATTCAAATAATTTGTTTAAAAATAATACACAGTCTATTTAATATCTTATTCATCTTAAATTTATTTTAATATAGAATTATTAAAATAATTAAATAATTTATTTACTTCTTTTTTTACAATTAATTAATTATTTATTTTATATTGACAGTTTTTTTATTAATTTAGATATTTTGTTCATTTATATAGATATAACCTGATTATAAACTGATTCTTTAAAATCTCTTTATTATTCAAGACTATACTTTTATTTTTTTTATTTTCATCATTTTAATAGTATTTATTATAATTTTTACTTCTATTATTAAGATTAAAGCTTTGAATAATTCAGATTAATCTGAAAATTTTCAGTTTGGTTTAGATTTTTTTCAGATTATAAATCTAATCCAAACTGAAAAAAATCTGAACTGAACTGAAATCCAAAATTTCAGATCATTTAGAACAATAAAAGAATCATTTATTTAGAACAATTGAAGTTATCATTCTAAACAAATAATAAGAAAATTATTTGATTAGAATAATTAAATTATCTTTTCAAAGAACGATAAAAGGATCGTTCAATTGGAATAATGAAATTATCGTTCTAAAAGAATGATAAAAGGATTGTTCAATTAGAACAATAAAATTATCATTTTAAATGAACGATAAAAGAATCATTTAATTGGAATGATTAAAGAATCATTCATTTAAAACGATTGAAGTTATTATTCTAAATGAACGATAAAAAGATTATTTAATTGGAATGATAAAATTATCATTTTAAATAAACAATAAAAGAATCGTTCATTGGAATGATTGAAATTATTGTTATGCCAGTTCTTTTAGATCGCGGGTAAATCACTTACGATATCACAGTTTAGCAGAAGGTTTCCTTCACGTGGAAGAGTAAGAACAAAGATATAAGGTAAGAAGTTAAAGAGAATCATGATAAACAGGGTAAAATACGTGCAAATAATTATTTAACAAACAAAAGACTAGTACTGCCTCTGTCGGCGTGTCTGTACTAAACAGTTTATTTATCAAAAGAATTATTCAAGACAAGATGGTTCTCTCTGTTTTTACATCGATGAATC